TAGCCCAACATAACCCAACATAGCCCAGCCAACATCCGAGCCAAGCCAGGAAGGAATTTCCCCCCCCCCTTCCCCCCCCTACCCCAATGGTCAGTCCCCTCTGAACGGCGGCCCGGTAACCTAACCTTAATTGCGAGGTCATTGGCGTCGGGTCATTGGGGTCAAACGGTTCGCCATCTTGGGTAATTTTTTTTTTTTTTTTTTTTTTTGCAATTGGTTTGGTATTTTTAAGAGAGAAGTTTTTTTAAATTAGTTTGGGTGAGATTGAGTTATTTAGAGTATGAGATTTTGGGAATCTTAAAGTGGGAGATGTGTGGATATCTTATTTATTTGTGTATGTGTATTTGTATGTATTTATGTTATATATTATTGTATATATATATATATATATATATATATATATATATATATATGTGTGTGTGTGTGTGTGTGTGTGTGTGTGTGTGTGTGTGTGTGTGTGTGTGTGTGCGTGTGCGCTGCGTGCGTACATGCGTATGCGTGTCTATGTGCGTGCGTGCGTATCTGTACGTGCATCTACATTTTAAATATTATATCTCCTAAAAATCCCTCTTATCAGCATCCAATCAAAAATCAAAACGAATTATTTTATCTTATCTATTTATTTACTTTTTATCAGGGTCGTTTTGATTTTTAATTGCAGCATCAATTAAAAATAAAAAAAATCAAAACGAATTATTTATTTAATTTATTTATTCATTTTTTATCAGGTCGTTTTGATTTTAATTGCAGCATCCAATTAAAAATAATTAAAAATCAAAACGGAAATTTTATTTATTTATTTAATTTTTATCAGGGTCGTTTTGATTTTTAATTGCAGCATCCAATAAAATAATTAAAAATCAAAACGAATTATTTTTTTATTTATTTATTTATTTTTATCAGGGTCGTTTTGATTTTTAATTGCAGCATCCAATTAAAAATAATCAAAATCAAAACGAATTATTTATTTATTTATTTAATTATTTTTATCAGGGTCGTTTTGATTTTTTAATTGCAGCATCCAATTAAAATAATAAAAATCAAAACGAATTATTTATTCTATTTATTTATTTATTTTTTACCAGGGTCGTTTTGATTTTAATTGCAGCATCCAATTAAAAATAATTAAAAAATCAAAACGAATTATTTATTTTTTATTATTATTATTATTTTTTTACCAGGGTCGTTTTGATTTTTAATTGCAGCATCCAATAAAAATAATTAAAATCAAAACGAATTATTTATTCCATTTATTTATTATTTTTTTTTTTACCAGGGTCGTTTTGATTTTTAATTGCAGCATCCAATTAAAAATAATTAAAACACAAAACGAATTATTTTTTTTTTTACCAGGGTGACTCCGGTGGCCCGGTGATGCGCATAGAAAACGGGAAGGTATTTCAGGTCGGCGTCATCAGCTTCGGAGCGTCGGCGGACTGTAAGGATCAAAGTCCCGACGGTCAAGTACGCGTCGCCGCCTTTATCGACTGGTTCGAATCCATTACGGGACTCACATTCTCGATTTAATGAAGGATTTGATGGGTCGCCGGTTCAAAATTATTTATTTATTTGTTTAATTATTTTTATTCGTAAATGTTAGGTTGAGTCTGAATTTTCTTTGTGAAAAAAAATGGAAGTTACTTGAATCTTTTTGTATTTTTCATTTTTTTTTCTTTATAAATTATATTCTTGTTTAAATCGTTTTTTTCATAATTACGGTTATTATTGGCTTTGAATTGGGCGTATTATCCTTGAATAAATATCCAGATGAGAGTGTCTTTTTTATTACACATTGTATATAGACACACACGCACAATCACACACATACACACACACTCACTCACTCACACACACACAAACACAACCCACACACACACACAACACACACACACTCACTCACTCACTCTCTCTCTCTCTCACACACACACACACACACCACACACACACACACACACACACACACACACACACAACACACACACACACACACACACACACACACACACACACACACACACATGTTCGCATTCCCTTGTGTCGTTACGCATAAATGTACACATCCACTCAAACCTCACACAAATAAACGAGTTTTTTTCCCTCCCCATTTTACCCAATATAAACTTCATCATCAATACCAATAAATGAGTTATTTCGTCGATAAAGAAAAATGCAAATAAAAAAAAATCACCATATGGGTTGTATATTCAAAACAACGATCATGTAATCAGTAGCAATAATTGATAATCATATTAGTCACGTTGTATAAGTAATAATAATAGTTATAAATAATCTTGTGTGAACCGTTTTTTTCTATAATTACGGTTGTTATTGGCTATGAATTGGGGGATTATCCTTGAATAAATATCCAGATGAGATTGCGTCGTATATAATAGTGATATCTATGATTAGAAGCACTTCGATCATGATCCGGATTAACACCAAAATTTAATGAGGTCTAAATTGGCCTAAGACGCACCTCTAGTAAAAAAAAAAAAAAAAA